CAGCCCCGCCTACCTCACAGGGTGTCTGTTGTGGGGAGGGGAAGGGAGAGGAGATTGGAAGATGCTCTGAGACTCCGAGTGAAGGGCGGGGTATAAATCCAATCTCATCCTCTCTCTCTTCCCTCTCGATGTAGCATCCTCTAAAGGCCCACATTTGGGGTGCGCATTGGCCACTTCTTCTGGGTCTCTCCCTCCTTGCCCCAGAGCTTCCTTGTTCAAGCAGTCGAGGCCACCGCAGACCCCCTCATCTGCAATTGGACTGCATTATGAAAATGGAGGCCGTTTGCATAAATGTATACAATTGACACGCTTTGTGAAAGTTGCCTTTCCCACGCCGCAGTTCAGAGGTGGGATGTTTCCCAGAAGCCACAAGAGAAGACAGACACACATAGACCACACACACGTCTCCCCACGCTTTAGGGTCTCGCCTAAAACCGGGAGTTTCAGATGTCAGATGTGTGAGGAGAATGAAGCAGGAAGTTCAGTTTGGTGGAGCCAGTCCGGTGTAGTTCATTATAGCTTCTAGGGAGAGTTCTCCCTGGGTCTGATCTAGAACCCGCTTATTTCTCTTTTCAGCAGTCCACGGTATCTGCAAAACTCTCCTCTGACACCAAATTTCAAAGGAATCCACTTTCTTCCTGTCAGCTTTCTTTATTGTCCAACTTTCACACCCCTAACACAGTAACGGGGAATACTATGGCATGAACTAACTCGATCCTCCAAGATTTTCTTATTGTTTACAGCCTTGCTGTTTGGTGTCGTGGTTAAGTGTGCGGACTCTAATCTGGGAGAACCGGGTTTGATTCCCCACTCCTCCACTTGCACCTGCTGGATGACCTTGGGCAAGCCATAGTTCTTGGAAGAGCTGTCCTTGAAAAAGAGCCGTTTCTGTCAAGAGCTCTCTCAGCCTCTGTCTGTTGTGTTTGTTGTAGGGACGGGAAGGGAAAGGAGTTTGTCAGCCGCTCTGAGACTCCCTTGGGTAGTGAAGGGCGGGGTAAAGATCCAATCTCTTCTTCTTCATCGGTGCCTCTGGACGAAACGAAGCAGCTCTCTGTTCTGGACACGGAGTCTCCGAGTTTGTCTGTGCCCTCTTGTCGGCCCTCCAGAGGAGCTGGAACTGAATGGCCCCTGTGTGAGACAGTTTGTCGATGAGTTCAATACCAGTCTGAATAGGGCCATCTTTTCACATCTCAGAAGCTCAGCAAGGTTCAGCCCTGGTCAGTACTTGGATGGGAAGCCACCAAAGAAGTCCGGGGTTGCTACGCAGAGGCAGGCAGTGGCAAACCACCTCTCTTTGTCTCCTACCTTTACATGGATGGCCCAGGCTGGAGTGATCTCATCACATCTTGGAAGCTAAGCAGGGTCGACCCTGGTGAGTACTTGGATGGGAGGCCACCATGGAAGTCCAGGGTTGCTACGCAGAGGCAAGCAAGGCTGATGGGAGTTGGAGGTGTTTAGCCTGAGTAAAAAAGCAGTTATCATTAGGGTGGAAAGTGCCATCAAGTCTCAGACAACTTATAATGACCCCATAGTGGTTTCAAGAAAGATGAACAGAAGTGGTTTGCCCTTGCCTGCCTCTGCGTAGCAGCCCTGGACTTCCTTGGTGGTCTCCCGTCCAAATATTAACCAGGGCCAACCCTGTTTAGCTTCTGAGAGCTGGTGAGATCAGGCTAGCCTGGGCCATCCAGGTCAAGGTGTGAGACATTGTGAGGTGGTTTCCCATTGCCTGCCTCTGCGTAGCAACCCTGGACTTCCTTGGTGGTCTCCCATCCAAGTACTAACCAGGGCTGACCCTGCTTAGCTTCCAAGATCTGACGAGATCAGGCTAGTCTGGTCCACCCTGATCCCGGATAAACAAGAAAGTGCTGTCAAGTCACAGTTGACTCATGGTGACTCCACAGGGTTTTCAAGGCAAGAGAGGAACAGAGGTGGTTTGCCACTGCCTGCCTCTGCGTAGCAACCCTGGACTTCCTTGGTGGTCTCCCATCCAAAAACTGACCAGGGCTGGCCCTGCTTAGCTTCTGAGATCTGAACAGATTGAACTAGGCTGGGCCATCCAGGTCAAGGCAAGAGACGTCCAGAGGTGATTTGCCATTTCCCGCCTCTGTGTAGCAACCCTGGACTTCCTCTGTGGCCTCCCATCCAAGTACTAACCAGGCCAACCCTGCTTAGCATCCAAGATCTGAGCAGATTGGGCTAGGCTGGGCCATCGAGGTCAAGGCAAGAGACATTCAGAGGTGGTTTTGCCATTGCCTGCGTCTGCGTAGCAACCCTGGACTTTCTTGGTGGTCTCCCCTCCGAGTACTAACCGGGGCTGGCCCTTTTTAGCTTCCGAGATCAGATCAGATTGGACTAGCCTCGGCCATCCAGTCAGGGCCTGATTCTCATGGTATGCACCCCCAGTCCACCAAAGGAGGGAAGGCAGCGTGGTGTAGCCCGATCTCGTCAGATCTCAGAAGCTAAGCAGGTTCGGTACTTGGAAAGGGGACCGCCAAGGAGGCTTCTGCAGGGGAACGCAGTGGCAAGCCACCTCTGCTTAATCACTTGCCTTGAACACTCCTTCCTGGGGTCACCCTAAGTCAGCCGTAACTTGACGGCACAACAAACGCACACAGTCCCCTGGCACCTGGTTGTTGTTCAGTAAGCTGAATGTTTTCCTCTGGTCGAGCATGAGGAACTCACCCAAATTGCTCTGCGCCTTCCCTTCCCCAGGGTCCACTGCTTCTTCCACTTGATCCCTTTGGCCAAGCAAGGGAATTACGCCATCGTGGCCAACGTGGAGAGCATGGATTACGACCCGCTGGTGGTACGGCTCAACAAGGACATCAGTGCCACCGAAGAAGCCATGGGCGCCAGCCTTCAGCAGCACAAGTTCCAGTACATCTTTGAAGGTCAGTGGGTTTCTGGCGGCCTGGGAATGACGGGCCCCGAGGGGGGCTGGGCAGGGAGGGGAGACGCCCATCATATGGGCAGAGACGTGATTGGCTGGATCCAGGCGGGAGGTTGCTCAGTGAGGAAGGGGAAAGGAGCGCTTGAATTCCCAGCAGCTTCCCACAGCGGCTCACCGAAGCGGTAATCGTGAGCCGGGCCTGTATCCTTTCCGACTGCAGTCGGTGGCCGCTTGGATTGCCTGAACCCCAAAAAATTAAGAACATAAGAGAAGCCATGTTGGAACAGGCCAATGGCCCATCCAGCCCAATACTCTTTCTCACACAGTGGCCAAAACCCAGGTACCATCAGGAGGTCCACCAGCAGGGCCAGAATTCCAGAAACCCTCCCACTGTTGCACCCCCAAGCACCAAGAAGACAGAGTGTCACTTGTCCCAGACATAAGAACATAAGTGAAGCCATGTTGGATCAGGTCAATGGCCCATCCAGTCCAACACTCTGTGTCACACATGGGCCAAAACCCAGGTGCCCTCAGGAGGTCCACCAGCAGGGCCAGAATTCCAGAAACCCTCCCACTGTTGCACCCCCAAGCACTAAGAACACAGAGCATCAATGCCTCAGACATAAGAATATAAGAGAAGCCCTGTTGGATGAGGCCAATGGCCTATTCAGTCCAACACTCTGTATCACACAGAGGCCAAAGCCCAGGGACCTTCAGGAGGTCCACCAGCAGGGCCAGGACTTCAGAAGCCCTCCCACTGTTGCCCCTCCAAGCACCAAGAAGACAGAGCATCACTGCCCCAGACTTAAGAACTTAAGTGAAGCCATGCTGAATCAGGCCAGTCCAGCACTCTGTGTCATACAGTGGCCGAAACCCAGGGGCCATCAGGAGGTCCACCAGCAGGGCCAGAACTCCAGAATCCCTCCCACTGTTGCTCCCCAAGCACCAAGAACACTAAACATCAGTGCCTCAGACATAAGAACATAAGAGAAGCCAATGTTGGATCAGGCCAATGGCTCATTCAATCCAACACTCTGTGTCAGACAGTGGCCAAAAATACCAGGTGACCTCAGGAGGTCCACCAGTGGGGCCAGGGCTCCAGAAGCCCTCCCACTGTTGCCCCTCAAGCACCAAGATACTGTTGCCCCAGGCAAATGCTCATATCCCAACAACAGTGCCCTTAGATAAATTGGCCCAGAATAAGTTTACATGTTGTGTGTGTCCTTTTAATGGTTTGAAACTGGGGTCCTCGACATGGTGTCCGTGGGTGCCATTAGTGCCCACTAACACTTCTTGGAGCCTGCAAAGTGTTTTTAGTAGGGCCAAGTGGAGATACGATTGACTATACTGATGTTTAAAAATGTTGCTTTGGCTCCCCCGAAAATGGCCCTTTTGGGCTGCTGTGGGCCAATTCAGATTCTCTAATCTGAATCGGCTTGCCGTTGCGGAAATTCGGCCCCATTATATCCTATGGACCATTGACGTCAGTGGCGAAAACATAGGGTATATCCTGGGGGCTGGAGGGGAGGGGGTTTGAGGGAGAGGCTCCAAACTCGCAGGGTAGCTGCTGGAGCCTCTCCCCAAGATACCACCCAAGTTTGAAAAACATTGGACCAGGAGGTCCAATTCTACAGGCCCTCAAACAGGTTGCCCCATCCCCTTCATTGTTTTCTATGGTGGGGAGAAAAGGGGCAACCTGTTTGGGGGCCCGTCGAATTGGACCTCCTGGTCCAATGTTCTTCAAACTTGGGTGGTATCTTGGGGAGAGGCTCCAACAGCTACCCTGTGAGTTTGGAGCCTCTTCATCAAACCCTCTCCCCTCCGGCCTCCAGAATATACCCTATGTTTTTGCCATTGACTTCAATGGCCCATAGGATATAATGGGGCCGAATTGCCACCGAAATTCGGTGACAATTCGGGGGCAAGCCGATTCAGATCAGAGAATCTGAATCGGCCAGCAGCAGCCCGAAAGGAGTCCGAATGGGCCATTTTCGGGGGTGCATTTGGTTCGGACTAACCGAATGCACATCCCTACTCGAGACCCCATTGGGGAGAAAGGTGGGGTATCAAGGAATTAAGCGAGAACATAAAGTGAACCTAAATTCAGAGGTTTTCCCCCCCTTCTGTACAAAAATTGTGACAGCCATTTTGTGGCTGGCTCCACCTCCTGTGACAGCCATTTTGTGTCTGGCTCCGCCTCCTGTGTTAGCAGCCATTTTGTCGCTGGCTCCTCCTCCTGTGACAGCCATTTTGTGGCTGGCTCCACCTCCTGTGGTGGCAGCCATTTTGTTGCTGGCTCCTCCTCCTGTGACAGCCATTTTGTGGCTGGCTCCGCCTCCTGTGTTAGCAGCCATTCTGTGGCTGCACCCACCATAACATTTTAGAATGCCAAAGGTACCTTCAGGCTCAAAAAGGTTGGGAGACCCCTGCTTTAAAAACGAACCTCGCCCTGACTGGTGGCCCGCTCCGTGTTCCTGACCTCTGCCTTCCCTCCCCCAGGTCTGGGGCACCTGATCTCCTGCATCCTCATCAACGGGGCCCAGTACTTCAAGCGCATCAGTGAGTCGGGCATCAAGAAGATGTGCAGGAACATCTTCATCCTTCAGCAGAACCTGACCAACATCACCATGTCCCGGGAGGCCGACCTGGACTTTGCAAGGTGAGCCCGAACCTCTGCTTCTCCTAACATGGTGGCCAGAAGCTTCCTTTGAGAGATTTAGCTTGCCCACCAAGGAGAGGTCAGGCTTGGGAGGGGGAGGGGAAAGCTCAGGTCCTGAGATGTGGGCTAGAGGGGCCCGTGGTAGAGCAGTCTTCCTGAAGTGAAGCGACTCTGGATTTGAAAGGAGGGACCCTGATCAGGCTAGCCTGATCTCATCAGATCTCGGGAGCTCAGCGAGGTCGGCCCTGGTCAGTATCCAGATGGGAGACCACCGAGGAGGTCCTTGTTCGTCTGGAAATCAATTGTCATAGTGAGTGGGAGATCTCTGGGCACCCCCCTGAGGGTGGCAACCCTCAACTGTTGGAATCATAGACTCAAAGGATGTTAGAGTTGGAAGGGACCTTGCAGGTCATCTAGTCCAACCCCTTGCACTCTGCAGGAGCAGAGCCGAAAGACAGCCCCGCAACATACCCAAAAGATGGCCATCCAGCCTCAGCTTGAAAACATCCAGCGAAGGAGCATCCACCACCTCCCGAGGCAGTCTGTTCCACTGCTCAACCACTCTTACAGTCAGGAAGTTTCTCCTGATGTTTAGCCGTTATCGACTCCCTTGTAACTTCCACCCATTAGATCTAGTCTTGCAATCCGGCGCAAGAGAGAATAGATCTGCTCCATCTTCTACATGACAGCCCTTCAGATATCTGAAGACTGCAATCATATCCCCTCTAAGCCTTCTCTTTCCCAGGCTAAACAGACCCGACTCTTTCAGCCTTTCCTCGTAAGACTTGGATTCCAACCCTCTCACCATCCTGGTTGCCCTCTTCTGGACACACTCGAGCTTGTCAACATCCTTCCTAAAATGTGGTGCCCCAAACTGGACACAGTACTCCAGGTGAGGCCTGACCACAGCAGAACAGAGCGGAACGACCACCTCCCGTGATCTGGACACAAGGCTTCTGTTAATGCATCCTAAGATTGCACTAGCTTTCTTCACAGTCACCTCGCACTGCAGGCTCATGTTTAGCTTGTGATCCACCAGAACACCCAGATCCCTTTCACGTGTGCTGCTGTCAAGGGATTTGATATGTGTCCGGTCAGTGCCCTGAGATCTCCTGGATGCCACCTTGATTTCCATGGTGGAAGAAAAGTGAGGAATGAGTTTTGCATGCGTGAGCACCTCGCCTCCAGCCCCAGCCTTCCACACGGTACACGGGGCCGTTGGGAAGACGCTTTCCCAAATGCAAGGCCTCGGCGCTTGTGCATGTATGACTTAACAACACAGAAGGGCTGCTCACTCACAGAACTTGGCGCAGTTGACGTCCTCCACAAATGCACGCATGTCAGAGTCATAGAATCACAGAATGTTAGAGTTGGAAGGGGCCTTGCAGGTCATCTAGTCTGACCCCCTGCACTCTGCAGGAGCAGAGCCGAAAGAGAGCCCCACAACATACCCGAAAGATGGCCGTCCAGCCTCCGCTTGAAAACGTCCAGCGAAGGAGCCTCCACCACCTCCCGAGGCAGTCTGTTCCACTGCTCAACCACTCTCACAGTGAGGAAGTCTCTCCTGATATTTAGCCGGTAACGACTCCCTTGTAATTTCCACCCATTAGATCTAGTCTTGCAATCCGGAGCAAGAGAGCAAGCCCCACGGCAATCAGTCCCAACAATGTTCCTTCATAAGGATCAAGTTTATTGAGTACAGTAAAGGAAGGTCGTCTGTGCATACATTCAGTGTTAGAGCTAACCCTAAGGGCGGGAGAGGGGGAGATATACTAGGTTCAAGGGTCGGGGGGGGGGCTGATGGAGGTGAGCCAATCAGGGGTGCCAGTGCAGCGCACCTAAATTAACGGGCTCGGATCCCCAGGCGAAGCAAAGAGAGCGAGGTGCCAAGGTCGGACGCCTATGCTAACAGATAAGGCAACAGCGAGAGAAATGAAAGTTAACATTCCAGCACAATAAGACGTTCACCCATCAGCCGACTGCCTCTCCCCACCAACAATGGCAGCATAGCTGACAACGCAGCTGCCTTCTACGGGGTCAGGCCATTAACAGAAGAAGAGCCCTGCTGGATCAGGTTGGTGGTCCATCTCAGTCCAGGATCTTATGAAGAAGAAGAAGAAGAAGAAGAAGAAGAAGAAGAAGAAGAAGAAGAAGAAGAAGAAGAAGAAGAAGAAGAAGAAGAAGAAGAAGAAGAAGAAGAGATTGAATTTATACCCTGCCCTTCACTACCCGAAGGAGTCTCAGAGCGGCTTACAAACTCCTTTCTCTTCCCCTCCCCACAACCCTGTGAGGTAGGTGGGGCTGAGAGAGCTCTTGGCAGAAACTGCTCTTTTTCAAGAACAGCTCTTGTCAGAACTATGGCTTGCTCAAGGTCATCCAGCCAGGTGCAAGTGGAGGAGTGGGGAATTAAACCCAGTTCTCCCAGATTAGAGTCCGCACACTTCACCATGACACCAAACTGGTACACCCTCTCCGTCCAAAAAACACAATACCAACAAAGGGAAGGCGTGCTCATCCTACGCTTATATAGATCGTCCTCTCCCATTGCGACAGATGGGAACTCTTATTGGCAGGCAGCAGTGCCTGTGAAGCTTTGGAGGCTCCCGGCTTGTGTTCCCAAGCCTGGAAAACGCCACCCCCATTGTCGTCTTGCATTTTCACACCAGGGTTTCTGAGTAGGTTTCATTTTCTGAGCTGCACCTAAAAGCTCTGAGATTTCTTCAGAGACCACGTGCGTGCTGAATGTCACCTCCTGAACCCCAATCTGGCCAGAATTCCGCCCGGGTTTTGGCTCGCCCCGTGGTTCGTGCCCATCCCTACTTATTTGCACAGAGGCCAACCAGATGTTCTGACCAGTAGTGGTTCTCTGGGACCAGAAGAAGAAGAGGAGGAGGAGGAGGATATTGGATTTATACCCCGCCCTTCATGCGGAGTCTCAGAGCGGCTGACAAACTCCTTTCCCTTCCCCTCCCCACAACAGACACCTGTGGGGTAGGTGGGGCTGAGAGAGCTCTTTCGAGGGCAGCTCTTGTCAGATCTATGGCTTGCCCAGGGTCATCCAGCAGCTGCAAGTGGAGGAGTGGGGAATCAAACCCAGTTCTCCCAGATTAGAGTCCCGCGCTCCTAGCCACTACACCAAACTGGCTCAAACACAGTCTTTTCCAGCCCTGCTGCTGGAGGTGCCAAGGTGAATCCTGAACCTTCTGCATGCAAAACTCGTGCTCCACAAATGATACCCCCCCCTTTGGCTGAGATCTGTGAGCGATCGGGTCGATTTGTTACACTTCTTAGGCAGATACAGATGGCAGGATCCTGTTTGAAAGCATCTGTTCTAAATTGCACATGCCGTCGCCTGGCTGAGCAATGGTTCTCATTTGGCTCCCTGCATCCATAAAAAGAACCCGGAATCGATGCCTAGAGACCCCCGGGGAATTGTATTTCAAGACGGGCTGCCAAAACCCAGGCAAAACACGACAAGTTTCAATCCATGCAAGTTTCTGAGCAATACGGCTGCCTCAGTTCTGTGCTGATTTCGGACTGGTTCTCTTCCCTTCTGTATCGCTAGCTAGGGTAGAGACAGGCGCGTAGCCACAGTGGGGCACCTTGGGGCTAGGCCCCCTGACTTACTGGCAAGGCCCCACCACTTCCCATTCAGCCCCACGCCCCCAAATGGCAGCAGGTGTGGGGAAGGAGCCAGGTGTTCCTTCAATTCAATTAGCCAGTGCCCCCTAAGAAATGTAAATGCCCCCCCTACTGAAAAAATCCTGGCTACGGGCCTGGGTAGAGAGCTGTTCAAGGAGACCTGGCCAGCTTTATCGCCCCAACCTATCGACAAAGAGGAAAAAGCTCTCGAGTCACTGTACGGCAGGCATCCTCAACATGGTGCTCACGGGCACCAACACCTTTCCCGGTGCCCCGTGAAGTGTTTTTGAAAAGTGGGAAGGGCCAGGCAGGGCTGTTGCATAGCAAGACTTCTGATTGGCCATTGGACATCTGATTGGGGGTGCAGGTTTTTTAAAATATCGCTTAGGCGGCAGCTGCCAACGCAACACAAGGACTTTGGCTGTGTGATTGAAGGTAAGCTGCGGCAGCCATTTTGTGACTGGCTCCACCTCCTGCGGCAGCCATTTTGTGTTGGAGCCTATCGCACTGTAGCTGCGATCACACACACTAAACAATCCACTTTCAATCCACTTTCGAAGTGGATTTTGCCATTGGAAATCTGACTGGTGGTGCAGGTTTTTTAAAATGTCGCTTAGGCAGCAGCTGCCGCCACAACACAAGGACCTTCGCCGTGTGACTGAAGGTAAGCTGCGGCAGCCATTTTGTGACTGGCTCCAACTCCTGCGGCAGCCATTTTGTGTCAGAGCCTATCACACTGTAGCTGCAATCACACACACTAAACAATCCACTTTCAATTCACTTTCAGTCCACTTTCCATGTGGATTTTGCCAGCACATAGGAAAATCCAGTTGGAAAGTGAATTGAAAGTGGATTATTTAGCGCAGGGGTGTCGAACTCATTTGTTATGAGGGCCGGATCTGACATAAATGTGTGCCATCAAAGGTAACGCCAGGTAGCAGAGATATAGATTTTATAAAGGGCACAAACACAAAGTTTTTTTTTTAACTTAAAATAAAAACATGCTTAAAACAATAGCACCCTTGCAATATTTTGTTTATTTAACAGTGCCTGATAACTGACACCTCTTGCTCTGGATTATTGCATAAAAATGTCTGTGCTGTTGCGATGAGTGTGCTGTTCAGGTGTGAATCTGTAAGCTGCAACCCGACTTTTGATTTATTGACATTCACCACAGAGATCTCATGCTCAGAGTTCTGAGTCTAGGACCCAGGTTAAAACATGGATTGGCTAAGCGATCGAGAGAGTCTGGCGAAGCAAGCTGTGATGCAGCAGCAGCAGAACCGGAAGCAGGAGACGGCTGCGGGCCTGATAAAAGCCCACCGGGGGGGCCTTATTCGGCCCCCGGGCCACATGTT